GAGGAAAAATGAACCCAGGATGGGAAGCATCCTCTCTCCTTTGTTTCCATTTTGTCTGCTGCCTCTTTACATGTGGGGCTGGGTGGGGTGTGTGTGCCTGCACAACTGCTTAGTACCCCCACCATCACAGCCTGCTCAGTGATGCCTCCAGATCCTCACTGCTTTCCAAGCCTCCTGGTTTGATAGGGAAACCACTTATGCAATACACAGGGGAGCCGATGGTCTCTCCACCCTTCTAATGTGTTGTGGCTTGGACTTATCACACCTGCCAGATCCTGAAAACATTTCAGAAATGCACAAAGGAGGGCAGTGCACAAAGCCCTGACTCCCAGATGGCCAGGCTCTGTTCCTACCCAGAGAGCCTTTTGCTGCTGCTAGCTGGGGAGAGGGGCACATACATGCTCTCTGTGTCCATAGCGGTATTCTCTGCACTGCTTAAAAGTAGACTTGGTGGGCAATGGGGGAGGGGAAAAAACCACATCACAAACTCTTGTGGGGAGAGGGGCACATACATGCTCTCTGTGTCCATAGCGGTATTCTCTGCACTGCTTAAAAGTAGACTTGGTGGGCAATGGGGGAGGGGAAAAAAAACACATCACGAACTCTTGTTGTCAGGAAAAGTCATGGACTAGAACATGGCTGACCCCATCTCAGAATAATGGCGAGTGCTTGTTCTGAGAAATGTGCTAACAGTTGCCACGCTGTGTGCATACCCGTGACACTCTGCTGGGGTCGTTTTGTGATTGGCATAAAAAAATAACCTGGCATTTGGGGAAGGAGAAAAAAGTTGGGTTGTCCTGGTTTTCTCTTGTTTTCTGGAAGATACTGGTGGCTGCTGCTGGATAAGAACCAATTTCTGTCTCTGCTCCTTTAGGCCCTTGGCAAAACTACACTCCCTTCTTTCTCGACCCCCATGTACCCTACTGAGGCAGCCCTGCCTTCCTATACCCTGTCTCCTTGGGTGGCCGTATCTTTGTGTCCCCTCTCTGTGTCCCCATAAATATAGATGATTATCCATCCTGGGCTGTTACCTAGAGAGAACATAGCACATACGTCCTCTGGATCAGGAAGTACTAAGTGTCTCAAAAAATTGTTTGTGGATGCTCTGGGAAAGGTAAAATGCAGGCAAAGCTAGGTATTCCCAGTGCTGCAAAATGACTGGAATTTACAGTGTTTCAGCTGTATAGCACATGGAGATACTATATGGCTTTGGGGTTTTTTTATAGATGTATATTATAAGGGCACTTTCTACGTGTCTCAGGAGCATTCCTGACCCTGTGCTTTCTGGCATTTTAAGCAATGTGGCTTTTTCTGATGAAAACTCACTTGGTAAGAAGTACAAACAAAAAGCACTTGCTCGCCCCTCCGCTGCAGTCAGAGCCAGTGCCTCCTCACAGGTGCAGTCACACACCAGCCTGGGCTCCAGCAGGTAAAAGGAATAAAAACTTAAATGCTACAGAGGGATACGAGTGCATCTGCTAAATTACACAGTAGTGGGTGTAATAACCTTTGAGTTATAGACAGGGAAACTTCTTGTTAGGCTGGAGAAGGGGAAGGCAGAGAGCACTGAAATAGTGAGTCTAATAAACAGACCCCATAAAGGCTACAGCCATTTTGAAACCCTCCAAGTAATCATATGATAAACACTGCCCACCCTGAGCTGTTTGCTGTTAGTTTCTCTGGGATCAGATTCATCCTGTATCAGAGCACATGAGTGGAAAGACACATCCCCACCCTCATGTTCTCACTCAAGATGAAGATGTCTACCTGTGAGCAAAACGTCACCTCTTTAATTAGCATTCCAATTTCCTCTGCACTTCAGAAATATCCTAGGTGCTTGTTAGCTGAAAAGAAACCCAGCTGCCTGAAAAGAGCACAAGGTAGTGCTTGGGCTGGTGGAGCTGTGAGCTGCCTGGTCCCTGGGGTGAGGTGCTTAATGTATTTGTCTGGCTTTTGTAAGAGATGAAGTACTTGCCATAAAGTTTTATAAGAGCTTGCCAACTTAGTGTTTCTGAAAAGCTACAATTTCAATTGCCTCACAAAGAGGCCTCGTACAGGAAGGCTTACAGGTGTTCAATATCAATATGCTCCCTTAGGATTTAACAAAGATGTCAGAATTTCAGGGCAGAAATTGCGGGTTCCTGTATGTGCATCCATATAAGTAGATTGGGATGAATTTTATGTATGCATTTTATGTGCGTAGATACTTTTTTCTAGTGGAACCTGAGTAGAAGTGAGCAGCAAACTCAATTTCTGGTTCTGTTTTTGATTTCTGTGTCCTTGTCCTTGGTATTTAATATCTGTGTTAAAGCTTGCCCTGTCCATCAACTCAGTCAGTAACAGGCATCTGCCCCACAGGCCTTTTTGCTGCTCCATTTTCATAATGTGTTCCTCTGGCCAACGGTCCTACAAAAACCAAGGTACTCTTTGAATACGCCTGCTTCCTTTGACTCTCCCTACTTGCCAGCATCTTGTCTGGCTTTTATCTCTGTTTCTGGTTTTTACAGGGAGAGGCACTTAACTCCCAGTGTAGAGCCAGACATAAAATCCTAGTGGCTTACAAGTTTAGCAGAGGAGGGATTGATTGGTTCCAGGATGGATGGACGATGGATACCAGAAAGGCTGAAGATAGAAGGCTGGGGGAAGAAGTCAATAGATGGTTAATGTTTGAAGGGGAAGAGTGGCTACAGCAGCAAAATATTGGAAAGGCTGCAGAAGACAATGTCACAGGCAGATGGGAAGTTAGTTGAGTTAAAAACTAAAATCTGGTTCTGAAGTCTGTCGGGATCCATTTAATGGGTTCCAGGTACACGCTGTTGCAGTTGGAGGCTGTGCATGTGCTGGGCTGGCCTAGAGAGCCCTTAAGACTCCGCTCAGTGTAAAAATCTCCAGAAAATTGGAAAAAACTTTTGAATAGCTGTGCAGTGTTGATGTACAGCTCCTGTATTTAAAAGAAAAAAAATAAAATTACTGAATGTTAGGGAAATTTCTCCAATTAATTTGTGGAAAAAAATTTAGAGAGTCACTGTCCTAACTGAAGAGAGTCTGTGTTTTAATTCCTTAGAAGATTGTGAGGCTGAGTCCCCTGCCTCGCTGTGTGGGACCCTAAGCTCTCTTTCATTGTCTGCGTTGTGTCTGCTCTCCCTAGGACCTGGAAGAATGCCCAGCTGGGAGAAGCCATGATCGAGAGCCTGGAAGCCCAAGGACTACAGCTGGCCAAGGAGAAACAGGAGTATTTAGGTAAGAAACTCTTCCTTCCAAAAGCCCCAACCCCCAAAATAGCCATTTTGCTTTTCTGGAGTTGTCACTGTGGTCCAGCCAAGCAGCTACAGTTGACTCTTACTGGATGAGGCTTTTGATCGGCAGCAGCTGAAATTCATGTTTTGAAGGAAGTCAAAACATGAAAATGTTAAGGTAGGATCAGGACATCTGTGCAGAGTGTGAAAGGCGTGCCTTGGCCAGCGTGCTGTGTCCCTGCAGCTCCGGATGGCTGCCCTGTACAAGCGTTTGCTGCCCCAAGAAGTTTGGATGTTCAGATTTCTGCCGCTCATCAGGCAAACAGCCGATACCCTTATCTCCCTAAATCACACAGGACTGGTATTTTTGAGGCTCATCACAGCTTTTCATGCATGGGTTTTCCTCCTCTAGCTGGTTTTTTTTTTTGGTCTTACTCTACCTGGTCTTTTTCCACATTTTCCCCCACTGTTCATGTCGAAAGTGGGAGCATTTACAGGGGCTTGTTTGAGGTGTCTAATGGCAGTGGCTAATGTGTCATTGCTCTCTCTGTGGGCAATGGAGAGAGAGTAGTTGCTCCAGATGAACACAGAAGGTTGGAAGAGACTTCTGAAGGTTATCTAGTCCAGTCCCCTGCTCAGAAAACAGCCTCTGGATGGCACAACCCTCCTGACTGCCTGGGGGGGGGTCCAGCTGTCTCTCCCCACATTGCCTATCGCAAAGAGCCAAGGGAGAGCAGCCTCTCTAACTCAGATGCCTCCCAAGTTGGAACCTTCCCCAAGTCAGGTGTAACAGCCCTTCTTGCCTGGGGGCTGTTGGTCACACTAGTAGCCCAGTGATTTGCCTGGACAGTCATCTACTGTAAACAAGCTAGCGGCACCTCCGTGTGCTTTCGGGTTGGTGATACCTTGAGCAGGGGCTCCTGGTTGCTCCTCCTAATCATCACACTGAGGAATCTTGAAGAGCCTTTTGCATACCTGCATCCATGCTGATCAGGGGTGATCTCAGTATATAGTCTCACATCTAACAGTGATCACAATCCAAGTACCAAGCCGTGTTTGTTCTAGCCATCTAAGCACCACTCACGTGAGTGAGCTGGTGGGTGGGCTCCTGTGTGAGGCAGGCAGGGAGGAGTGGTTCACACCTGACAAACGGATAACAGGGAGTGTTGAGAGGGGGACCTGGAGAGACAGGAGGAAAGTTACAGACAGGAAAGTTTTGTCAAAACATTATTTTGCAACCAGAGCAGACTAAAGGCCTAAGAGACTAAAGAGGGCCACAGTAAGATAAAAGACAAGATGATGGACTAATAGAGAAATACACGTTCTGTGGCAAACAGGAGATATTTGGAATATAAAAAATATGTTCCACTGGGTTCTTCAGTCCATGACAAGAACATTCAGAGCTGGTCCATTGTCACAGTTGGTTACTTTCTTTTGACAGCGATTGTCTATTTATTCCTACACAACTGCTGAGGCTTCTGCCTCATTAGCTTTACCTTCAGTGATCTGTGTCCATCCTGTAGTTAAATTTCGAGGTCAGGCACTACTCCTGGCAGGAGGTTGAGGCTCTCTGGAGGAAGCAAACACTGCTGTGGGGAATTCCCTGAATGTCCCCAGAGTTACCTTCCACCTGCCCCCACCCAGCTGTGACCCAGGTTTCTCTCTCAGGGTGGGACTTTGCAGAAATCCATCAAGCCTTGGGCTTGGCCCCCCAGGAAGAAGGAATATGGGAGAGACTCTGTAATGACAGCTGTGCTGGGTCCTGGCAAGGAGGAAGAAGGTGAGACATGGAAGGAAAGGCAGGAGTGGCAGTCAGCAGAGCATTAGTACCACAACAGGAGCCCTGCTGTGGGCAGGAGGTAGTAGAGACCTGCGTTGCTCCTAACAGTAGTAATCCTGCCAGCAGCGATGCCCAGGGGGCTGAAGGAGAGGGTGATGTGCTAGGTGAGTGAGGATGGGGCACTGAACTGCAGGAGGAGAACTGACTGCTGCTAGCTGTGTGTGACCCTGTGCACCCGTTTAACCTTTGTGTGCCTTTGCTTCCTCATGTGTGAAGCAGAGATATGGATATTTTCCCTACTCAGCTAGAGGATGGCAAAGGTTAGTTCATTAATGCACTTTTAGAATATTGAGAGGAAACCTTAGAAGGAGTACACAGCAATTTGGTGATTTAGTTTTATTAAGTTATTTGGCAGGAGGGAAATTACAGAACATCCCATTAGTGCCATCTCAGCCTTTGGAGCCTCCTGGACACACACACAGAGCAATAGGGAATGCTGCATTTTGAAGCTCCAAGCAGTCAGTGTTTCATACTCATAAATATCCCTGGGATATGAATTGCTTTTCTCTGTATTTGGCCTTTGTGTGTGTGTTTGCAGATAAGCTAATGGAAGAAACAGAAGAGCTGTGTCTGCAGAGGGAGCAAAAAGAGGTGAGTGTTCATCACAAGCCAAGTCCTTTCATCTTCCATGTGGCAGGACTGGGAGGTTGGGAGTTGCTGGTTTGAGAGCACACCAGGTTTCAGGGAGGGAAGCTGTGGAGCCAAAAGAGTCTCCAGCCCACCGCTGGGCCCTGTGGCTGAAGAGAGGAATAATGGCCATGCCACAGGGTAGGTCCTAGAGGTGTACCCCTGCTCCCCTTCCCAGGCACCTTCCATGCAGCCTGCTTGTGAGGAGGAGGACTGGGCAGGAAGATCAGATTCATATTCACTGCATTTAATTAAACACTTGTCTGGTAGATTCAAGAGGACTCTGGCAATCAACTTGTCTGTCTCCCCAGTTAGCAAATAAATAGACCTGACATTGCTCTAGTGTAGAGATACCATTGTGAGAAACAAGGAGCAGCACAAAACAATTTATTCTTTGGGCACACCAGCGATGGGGAAAATTAATAAACAGTGCACTAGGGAAAGCCCAAGAGAGCGCTCCCTTAGATGTGACTATTATACCTTAATTTACCATGTTTATTGTTTTCCAAACTGTTCCTAACTTACATTTGCTTAATATAATAAAAGTAGCTCATTCTCATATTTATACCAAGAGTCTTATTAATTTCTCTGGCACCAGTGCTGTTTTGTGACCTGCCCGGGCCCGCAGGAGGAGTTCTGCCTAGCAGCTAAGGCTGCAAGGGGACCTGACCCAAGAGCGGGACCCTCGCTGCACTTTGTCCCTGTCTCTTTCCATCTGCATTAGGTTTTGGTACAACTGCTTCCTCTAGACTAGGGGAGGTGGCTTGAGGATAGCTTGTGGTAGTCAGTGCTCTTTAGACATGGTTTTATTAGCACAAAGATAGTGACAGGCTGATTAAACTGTTGAAAGCTGTAACTGTGCCGTTCATGTTTTCCTGTCCCAGTAAGGCTGAGCTAGTAGAAATATCACCCTTCAGGTGCAGCAGTGCTGGGGCTGTTGCATTCCTGTCCGAGCTTTCTGTTCTTGCACACGTGGGTGCCTGGCAATGGTACGTGCATTTTGAGTCCCGCCTTCCCAGAGAGCTTTGGACCTTCTGTGTGTGTGCAGCAGTGCTGGGGCTGTTGCATTCCTGTCCGAGCTTTCTGTTCTTGCACACGTGGGTGCCTGGCAATGGTACGTGCATTTTGAGTCCCGCCTTCCCAGAGAGCTTTGGACCTTCTGTGTGTCTGCAGCAGAGCTGATCTGTGCAGGGAGCATGTCTGGGCTTTCCAGGTGCCTGGTAACCTGGATGGGACCTCTGGATGTCTGGAAATCCTCAACCAACCTTTGATCCCTTCTAATTGCCCCTGGACAAAAGTGTGGTGGAATCAAACACCCTGTGGCTCTGCAATGGCACAGGTTGAAAGTCCCGGGCATTGTTAATAGGAAAGCCTTTCCTAAGTATATCAGCAGAGTACACTCCTGTCTTCTCTTCTGGTCCAGGAACTCGAGCGTCTGAACCAGGTCCTGGAAGCAGAGAAGCACCGGTTTGAAGAGGTGGTACGGGAGCTGCGGCTGGAGCAGGAACAGATCAGACGGTAAGGTGGCAAACTGCCCAGGGCAGGGCAGGGACATGAACTCCCACACTGGGCAAAAGTGCTGGTGTGTGGTGAATAAAAACAGTGGGTAAGCCCCACCTATTTTGTGCATGTAGGAAGGAGATAAATGCTATAATGACCAGAACAGGAATGGCTGAGATCTGTTTACCTGCATTTGCTATTGCTTGTTTGACCAACAGAAGACAGCTTAGTTTTGCTTTGTCTTCAGGACTCCAGGAACCTTGCTTTCAAAAGGGCTGGGACATGGGCAAACCCCAGATTAGTCACGGTAGCACAGGAATGGGCAGGTGCTAGAGGATTTCAGAGAGGCAATTAGTTTGACTGACTGTCCAGCCACATGGGCTCCAGACATCTGAATCTGGTTTTCCACCATCAGCTGAATGACAGTGGGTGGATGATCAAGTTGCCTCAACAAGAATAATTTTTTTTCATTTTAAGAGTTACACTGCGCAAAATATGAACAGCAAACGTATTTAGAAAGGGAAGGATCCAAGTGCTTTGCCCTGAGTATTGAAAGGTCATGTTTTGCTGTTGCCCTCTTTTTTTTCATTTTCTCTCCCTAAATAATATATCAGAAAAGCCAGTGTGATTTTGCAAACCATTTCTGTTTTCATAGACCTACATCTGTTGCTATGATTGCCCTGCCTGAACTCTTCCAGTTGCAACCATCGCCCTGCCCTTGCTAGGCAAGCATGCTAACAGCTGGTTTTGGTTTGATGCTCAGGAGGCACAGTAAAGTTCCTGGATGCTCATAGTGTGTCTAAGGTGTGATGCTTCTTGGCAAGTTCCTGACTCTCCAGGGCTGCCCGGTTGCTGGTCCTGCACTGAGACCCACAGTCTGAGCGTGGTCTGTGGGGTTAGTGTTCCCCTGCAACAGCTATCGCCCTCTCTGCTTCTGTAGGGAGCTAGAGCTCACAGCCCGCTCCCTTAAAGGAGTGGAGGAAGAAAAGAAAGAGTTGCGAAGCCTGACACAGTCCTTACAGAAAACCCTAGAGGTGAGTGACAACTTCTCCGCTCTGAGTGACAGCATTTTGGGAATGACTCAGGAGAACTGGCCAGGGCTGAAAGCAATGCTGTCCTGTGGAATTAATCTAACATCCACGAGTGCTGGAGTTAACTCCTGTGTGGATGAATAGGTTCATTCGGTAGCTGATATGAAGGCCAAAATCCCCTGCAGAAAAGGACTAGCAGTGTCACGGAGCCCAGCTGAACCAAACTTTTCTCAGCAGTGCCAGGTGATGTGATGTAGGACAATAACTGTAAGTTGCAGTGTGGGAAGCTCAGGTTGAACACTAGGGAGAGACTTTTCACCAGACAGGTAGGCAGGCAGGCAGGGGGAGAGCCTGAGGAGCCTCCACCTTGGAAGGTTTTCACATCTTGACTGTAGAAAGCCACAGCTGACCATATCTTGCTGTGTTGACAGACCAGGTCTGAACAGGAGGCTGGACTAGAGCCCACCAGAGGTCCCTTCCAGCCAACATGTCTATAAGTCTGTGATAGCTTTCTGATTTATTTTTCTTTTTAACTGCAGCTCCCTAAGTCCTGGTGGAAATTGGAGCAGTAAAGAGGCGTTCCTTGTTCACAGAAGTGAGCATGGTTTCCAGGGAATCATGTACCACAGGCGAATTTAGGAAACAGAGTGCTGACGTATTAAACCCCTTCCTTACTTGGTATCACTCTGGTGAATTGGTGGAAAGTGGCTTTTCTAAATGTATATTGTTTGTGAAATTTCCACACAGCTGGCCTTCTGAAGCCTCAATGTCGTCCTTAATGTTTGTGTCAGATCAAGATTGTGCAAGTTTGTCCAAAAATCTGTTGCTTATGTTCCTTTGAGCTCTTCTCCTTGCTCGCAGTTATGGGTACAATAAAAAGAACTGGAAAGCTAGGGAAGGAGCATTCATGCCCTAGTTGCGCACTGGACTGAACACTTCCCAGGAAAATAGCATGATACGTCCTATTGCCTGCAGTTAGAAGTACCACAGAGGGGGTGCCTCTGGTTCACACTGTGGAGCAAGGTGAGGAGGGAAGGCAGGGAAGCTGCCGGCATCGGTGATGCACTAGTGAAGCACGAGGCTCCAGCCCCTGAGCTGGGTCCTTGCTAGTGTATTATGTCAAAGGAGCCTGGCAGGTTCTCCTCCCCTTGCATAGCGAAGGCTATGGTGAAGGCATGCTCCTGAAGAGGCACATAGAAAGGGAAAACTACATTTTGTCACTCCTGTTTTTGACCTGAATGAGGAACGTGGATATAAGAATGAAGGGACTCAACAGGGAGGAGCCAGGCAGGAACAGGAGCAGAAATGTTAGACTTGGCTGATACTCACAATCTCTGCCCCTCTTCAAGGAGCTCTCCCTGGAAAAGCAGCAAATGCTGGAGATGCTGGAAGAAAATGAGAGCCAGCTCCCATCTCCAACCAGCCCCACCAAGGAGCAAAGCCCCATCTGGGGACTGCATTGCAGCCTGCGACAGATTGAAGAGAAGATGCAGCAACTTCTGAAGGAGAAACTCCTGGCAGAGAAGAGGTGAAGTGGGGGCAGGAGCTCATATAGTGGTGCCAGAGACAGGGATGTGGGACAAGATGTGATCCAGCGTGGAGACAGTGGTGGGAAAAGAGGTAGTTTTCCCCCCGTGCTGGCAGTAGGCTAAATATTTCCAGGCTTAAAATTAGGATCACTTCAAAACTGTAGCTGTGTTTATCCTGAGACCTCCAGAGAGGCAAGATCCTTTAGAATTCCCATTCTTGGTGTGGTAAAGGAAAGAGGACATTTCTGCCCTGCTCAGGCTTACTGATGCCAAGTGACACGGCTGTCTGCTGACTTGCTTTTTGACTGCCAATACAAGTCTGGAAGCTTGTCTGGTTCCTGTGGCAGCAGTTCAGGCAGAAACGTTTCAGAGGGGACAGAGTGAGTCAGCTCCCGTTAGTGCCTCTCTGCTCAGGGCAGCCAGGTAGCTCAGCGTGCCCCATCATGATACTGAGCCCCTTCTTTCCTCTGAGTTGTGCTGGAGTGGGAAAGGTTGTTTTCCTTTGCTGTGCCATGCACCAGGATGAAGGAGAATGAGGAGCGGTCCCAAGCGCTGGAGGAGGAGCGGGAGTTTTACTCTTCCCAGTCGCAAGCGCTGCAGAACTCGCTCTTGGAGCTGACTGCAGAGAAGCAGCAGGCGGAGAGAGACCTCAAGGTATCCTGTGCATATGTCACATATTGCTGTCCCTGGGCCCTGACTTCTCATTTTCCATTTCAGTTCATCCCCTGTTAAGTGGGAGACTTGGTTTTATTTTGTTTTCATTTTGTAGTCACAAATCTTCATTTGCTATGCTTCATATTATGGTAACATACGAAGTTGCCGTGTTGTATCTACGTAGCACTACTATTTATTTTCTCATTCTGAAGCCTGATTAACACATTCAGTAAAAGTCTCTTCATTTGCTACTGTGAAAGCATCATCTAATGATGGAGGGGGAAAAAGTAAAAGAGGAAAGTAGACACAATCAAGAATAAAGATTATTTCAAAGAAATGCTAATATGGACATTGTAGAACTGAGCAGGAATCTTCCCTCCTCACTTGTGCTCAGAGAATCAGTCTTAAGATTTCTAAATCTTCAGAAACTCTGCATGAACTTGGGTTCAAAAGCAGAGGAATGCAGGTGAGGTACCAGCCCTCCTTCATTATCCTAGTAATGGAAGATGCCTTAATCTATGCAAAGGTAATTGGACAAAGTATGCTAGTTTATTTTCATCTAAATAATGTAAAAGTTATGCTTATTATTGGCTGTTCAACACTCAACCTCCTTCTACAAATATTTTGTCCAACCCCCCCCCCAATTCTTCTTTTTCCTGCACCTCCAAGATTTTCTTATCCTGTAGCCTTCCACTTGGCCAAACTAAAGCTAAATTGACCTAAACTGGATTAGTTATTCTCATTTGCTAAACTACTACTGATATTATCCTTTATTTTCAACTTTTCTTGTGTTTTGTTTCTAAAACTAAGTACTATAAACCCCTTTGTGGGAACCAACTGCCTTTATCTCAAGTCCATTTCAGCTGGAAAAATCTCCTCCTGTTCCTGCTCAGCTGCAGGTAGTCACATAAGCACAAATTCACATGTTGAAGTACCACCTCTAATTTCATGTGGCTCATGTAATGAGAGGGGAGCTGTGAAAATGAAAATCAGTGTAAAGGAGAATTACTAAAATAGTCTGGACTTCAAATTCACATTCTGTCTGAAGACAGGAAGAACAACTTTTATGTTGTCTTACAATATTTCTATTTGTTTTCCTTACTGTTATCTTTTCATTTTCATCTGCTTGGTGGGTCTCTCACAGACCTTGTGAGTTAGCAGGATGGCTACTGAGGCACAAGCTGTTTTTCAGCAATGCTTATTCTGTTCCTCAGGCTGAGGTGAAGGTGCGCATGGATCTGGAGAGGAGATTGAGAGAAGCTGAGGAAGCATTGCAGAGTTTGGAGCAAGGCTTAAGTTCTCTGGATTGCAACAAGGAGAAAGAGAAGAAGATGAAAGCAGATGTCAGTAGCTTGAGAAGTAAGTCAGTCATCCATCCTCTCTGCTTCTGAGCAAGCTCTGAGAGAGGAAATATTTCTACCCATCTTCCCAGACACAAAAAGAAGTTCCCAAATTAGGAAAGCTGCACATAATGTGGTCTCCCAACTCCTTGTACCTCAACCAGACCTCCCTTTTGAGGAGCCAGGACATGTTATGCAAGCATTTGATGTTTTGCCCTCAAAGGAGGGTAAAATTACCCCAGCCTTCCCTGTTGGGTGGGGAGGCAAACCTGGGGCAGAGATGAGCAAATGCTTTCCAAAATGTCAAACAGGGAAGCTGTGGCAGAGCTGTACACACTGACTAGATCTGAGTTATAAAGAGTCCTGATTCCCCTCAAGGTAATATTTTTCTCAGCCTTGGTTACAAGAACATCAGCAGTTTAAGGAGCATCACGGTTGCTGTAGCAACGTGCTGGTAGGTGACCCAGCGGGTGAAGTTTGGATCCTTACTCAGAGCTGGATCGTTGCATCAGCCCAGTGCTGCTGAGCTGAGATGACTGCAGTCCACAGGTCAGGTGTAAGACTCGAGTTCCTCACAGCTTATCCCTGTTTCTTTGCTTTTTTGGGGGGGGGTTTGTTTTTTTGTTTGTTTGTTTTTTGGGGTTTTTTTTGGTTTTTTTTGTAAGATGGGGCATTACCCTAGCATCTGGCTTCAGTTAGGTTTAGGAATTGACATTAGCAGCTTCAGTTGGGTGTTTCCATCCTCAAGAATAGTGCAGGGGAAGCTGTTATGAAGATGCTGTATCTATACAGTTAATGCTTCATTACAGTGAAAGGTGGATGTATTGGGCCAATATAGAAAAGTCAAAAAGTCCTGTGGCATTCTGAGCACTGTTACATATGTAAGTGCAAATACATGCATAAATAGTTTATATATTTTTGTAATTTA